GGGTTGAGCTATAGGCGCCGAGCCGATTTCATCATAGTGTCTCCTTTTAAGCGTTTCTAAGTGGTACCTTTGTTTTTTAATAACTTGAAATACAAATACCAGCTTGCTTCCCACTCTGTCTTCTTCAGGGCACTGTGCATGCTCTAAGTGTCTGCAGGTGTGTATATAATCCTTGCCTACATGCTTAGGAAATGGGTTGGTAAGAAGATTTGATGCAAAAGCACACTCAGTGTTTGTTTTTTCCCCAAACAACGTGGGCGTGTTTGGTGCTAACACTGACTTCTATCATAATGTTTTTCCACCTGAAGCCCTGGAGGACCCCATTATTACTTGGCATTGAGCTGCCACAGAGGTCACCAACATGCACAATTGGTCTATTTATACCTGATTCTTTTACCGTCACTATGTCTTAACATTCTCTATTTAGGAGAACTTTTACCTGCTTGTATTACATTTTGCTATGGTATTTTCCATTAAAGGTCTCAATAGTATTTTACTTCATTTTAGGGTTCCCTTGGTATAATTAAAAAATTAGAAGAGGGTGGTGCCTGTGGCTCAGTGGGTAGGGTGCCAGTCCCATATACCAAGGGTGGCGGGTTCAAACCTAGCCACAGCTGAACTGCAACAACAACAAAATAGCCAGGCGTTGTGGTGGATGCCTGTAGTCCCAGCTACTTGGGAGGCTGAGACGAGAATTGCCTAAGCCCAGGAGTTGGAGGTTGCTGTGAGCTGTGTGACACCATGGCACTCTACTGAGAGCCATAAAGTGAGACTCTCTATAAGAAAAAAAAAAAAAAAAAAAACTTAGGAGAAGAGTTTCCCAAGAGTAGCAATTGTTATTTTTCAGCAGTGATGGTTTTATTGTAATAGTCTTGTTTATGTTTAATCAAGACCTTTGTTGAGCGTTTCAGACCTGTATACGTTGTGTGTGTGTCTGCAAATAACTGCCTTTTTTTCCCCACCCAGATGTCTCAGTGGTGCTGCAAAGTGAGTATGTCTTTTTTTTTGCAGTTTTTGGCCGGGCCAGGTTTGAGCCCGCCACCTCCAGTATATGGGGCCAGCGCCCTACTCCTTGAGCCACACACCTGCCCTGAGTATGTCTTCAATTGAATCTTCTCCAAGGCCCTCATCTACCTGGTCTGCTTCCTCTGTTCCCAGTTTCAGTAAATGGCCGTAGGTCACCATACCATTGTAAGGGATAGAAAATGAGAAGTAACCTTTGATGTCTTTTTTTTTTTTTTCCCACACTACAGATCTAATCACTTCCCAAAATCCTTCTGTGTTATCTGTTAAGTGTGTTAACTTATTTCTGTCTGCTCTATTAATACCCTGCTTAAATTTAACTAGGGTAAGAATACAGAAGATTAGTTACTTCCCTACATAAGAACTTGATAATGTATGTATGAACTGACACTGGAGTTTGGGGGACTCTGAAGTGTCATGGTTGTGGTTTCAAACTATATGACATCAGTGAGGAGGGAGAAAGGCTACTTGAGCATTACCTTGCTTCTGCTCATCTCTTCTTTTTAGGCTTGCCTGTTAAGATGAACTGTATGTGTATTTTGATTGTTTTAAAAACTAGAGTGACGGCAGAGGGTAAAAATGCTTAGATGCCCAAAATGTGCGATTAAAAGAGTTCAAAGGGAGCAAGGAGATTTTGTGTTTTGAACACTTTCACCATGTTTCTCACTGCTGTTAGAAAAACAAGGACGATGTGATCTAAATGTCAAGGACCAGCAACTTACGCAATAAGGGAACTCAGAGATTTTGATTACCCAATTTCCCTCTGAGTTTGTTTTTTATAAAAAATGAGCAAAGCAACGACAACAAAAAACGGACAGGGCGACTGAAACAACTTAAAGAGACCCTGTTCCCACCTCGTGACCCCTTGGATCCGGAGCTACACAAGCTCGCTCCGTGGGCAAACCCCGGCGCCTGCGCACTGGCCCCTCCGGCGTCCGAAAGCCCTGGGACCAAGACACTTTCGGATTCCGTGACTACGACCCGATTAAACATTTCTCTATGGTTACTGAACCTATGCTGTCACTTAAAACATCGAAGTTAGGAGACAGTGTTTCTTAGCTTCTCCCTCTGCTGCCGGCACCGCCGAAGGCAGCCCCCGTTGAGGGTTGCTAAGGCTCGGGGTCTTGCGTTTCTATGACGACAGAAAAAGGCGTTTGGGAAAAGGCGAGGTGACCGGAGGCAACCTGGCGCGAAACACAAATTGCTGGACAGAGGACCGCAGGTGTCGGTTTCCCGTCACTTTTAATGAGAACTGGTTTGAGCCCTGCGTAACTCCCGAGTTTTGGGGATTGGTGCGCGCGCAAGCGCTGCTTCCAGGGGGAGGCGGGAGACCCGGGCCCACCGGCTTAGAGCGAGTGACTCCCCCGGGGCGGGGGCAGCGGGCTGTGTGGCGGACCGAGCCTGTCCGTCCCCGCCTGCGTCCGGACCCAGACGCACCCACGCGCTTCTCAGTCGCTTCAGGTGACCTGGGAGAACACAGAGGTCTCCTCGAAGAACATACACCATGCTAGATGAATTCTAAACTGTGATCTGAACATGGGTCCTGATTTTGGGTTGTTTTTGTTTTGTCTGCAGGATGGTGCGGCAGACTGCAAGTCCCAGCACGGCGCTGATTTGTTCCTAAGTTAGATTTCTGGAGGAATATTTCAAATTACTGAAGAGTGATAGGAGGCATTTTTTATTATGTCTTTCCCAAAAACACCCTCCGGACCTATAAACTCTGTGTCCACATCTGAGAGCAAAAAGTTAAAAGTATCTGTAGCCAAGGAAGAGACAAGAGGTAACCTTCCAGGATCCCGCAGACAAACCACCATAGCCACAGACAGAAATCACAATGCATTCGCCATTTTTCTTGATCTATGAGTTAGAATACCTCAGTTAGCTACATTTTCCTAACACAACTTTAAATAAAACCAGAACTCATTCCTTTTACAGTAGTTTCGAGTCAGAGTCCTGTTTCGCTACTCCACACAAGGACCATGTTTATAATTCTCTTCACATGATGACTTTCATATTGTTTTAAATTCACCCTATTTTAAATTCTGATAGTTGTATGAAACAGCATTTTTTAAAATTTGGTTTCTTATCTCTGACTTTAAAGAACTTTAAAAATGTAACGGTGTAGATAAGAGAAACGCTTGCAGTTTTAGTACAACATGCCGATTTTAGTAATTTTTCTAAATGAGAGTAATTCCTTAAGGCTTTCATTCATATATGGATAAACACAAATCTGTACTAGAGACGACTAATGTTATCTTTATCCCCATTATGCTGAAGCTTTCTCCACTCTTACCTTCACCTTGTGTTTAGGGGAAATTACACACCCAATCCTTTTTTTCCTAGTTCTTTTTTGAAACTGAGTCTTGCTTTGTTGCATGGTTAGAGTGCAGTGGCATCATCTAAGTTCACTGCAACCTCAAAACTCTTAGTTCTTTTGATGTTCTAACTTATCCCAAGCTCTTGAGAGATAGAGATTTAGTAATATAAACCTTAAGAAGTTTCAGGCTTGGTGCTTATAGCTCGTTGGTTAGGGCACCAGCCACTTGCATCGTGGCTGCTAAACAATGACAATTACAACAAAAAAAACAGCCAGGCATTGTGGCAGGGGCATGTAGTCCCAGCTACTTGGGAGGCTGAGGCAAAAGGCTTAAGCCCAAGAGTTTGAGGTTGCTGTAAGCTGTGACGCCATGGCACTGTACAAGGGTGACATGGTGAGACTGTCTCAAAAAAAAAAAAGTTTCAATGGTAGAAGAAACTTCTTTATAGAAATAGATGTAAACTATGCTATATGAGGAGCATAAATTAAGGACAATGACAACCCAACTCTACTTGACGTCATAGGAGGACTTTCCTATATTAGCCTTACAATCCACCATTATAACTCCTCTGTCCTAGTCAAGCTGAGTAGAACACTCTTTATGGTTCTTTTTCCCCCAGTTTGTTCAGATTGTTCTACTCTTCATTTCCAACAATCCAGTTCTACTTTTACTTCTAAACTCAGTTCAAATCCTCTCACTCTATAAATGCCATTTTATAAGATTCTCACCTTAGAATTCATGTCAGAAAAATTACTAATTTGATAGCTTGGGGGAGAGGAGGA